CCATTAGCATCTTACTAAAGTCCATTTAAAATATTCATCTGGAGGATATTCCATGCAAAACTGCCAGTGTCTTAAAAGCTGCTGCAAAACGTTGACATCAACATTTAAACGCTTCTCCCCAGGGTGGTCACCGCCTGGCAGGTTCAGTGACGGTCACACTGGGGACAGCAGCATGGGCAGCCCTGGCTGGGCGATGGAGAAAACCAGGAGACCCTTGCTGGCAAGGAAGGAATAACATCCAGAGCGCAGGATGATGCAGATGTGGCTCATCCCACTCACAGTTTGGTCCCCGCACTTCGGCTGGGCGTCCAGGTCAGCTCCTGCCTGCTCCCTGGTGACTCCCAGAGGCATTTTGGGGTGATTCGCAGCCTTTTTGGGAAAGCCCCGCATCCCTATGCCAGCAAGCTCTCAGCAGTGGCCTTTGCCATTAGCAAAGGATATTATTATTATTAGCATCCCGAGGGGAGCCTTGCCTATAAATACGAGCCAGCAGTGAGTCAGCAGATCCGCAGCGCCGCTGCCTTCAATTTCCCAGGTAGTCGCATGTCGGTGTGCGCGGCCCTGGCTCCTGGGGCCACGGGGAGGTAGCCATGGCAACCCAACGCTGCCAGAACCCATAGGGGCTGGAACGTGGCTGTGCTGGGTGCAGGCACGCGGAGCCGCAAGCGAGCCAGGACGTTATGGATCTCTCTAACTAGCGAGGTTATCGGAGCAAGAGCCATCAGCGGAGATGAGGAGCAAGGCACGCGAGCACAAGGCCCTCCCACCGCCTGGAGCTGCTCTGTCCACTGCACATTAATCCTGCCATGAAGCACAGCAGACTTAATACATAAAATAAGACCAAAAAGCAAGTAACATTTGGGTCCTATATGGGCTTTCAGTCTGCAATTTGTGCTCAACATCTCCTGCATGTGTGACAGGCATCAGAAGGCACCCTGGTGGACTTACCCAGCCCCATCTTCTGCTCGTCAGGGGATTTTCCCAGCTGAGCTATTTAGCCATGTGAAGCACAGCCCTGGAGCAGCAACAGGCAAAGTTTTCCAGGAAAAAAAAATGAAATAAAATCCATCCCCAAACCACAGAATGCTTGGCAACCCCCAGATTTCCACCCCTTTGTCCAAGTTTCAAAGCGCTATTTGTGCTCAGAGGAAGCCAACTATCTCTCAATGCAACATTTCAACAAGCAACTGCGGCTGAAAGGGGATTTTCATTCAGAAATCCCCTGCAAATTTGCTTTCCCCATTCTATTTCAATCCAGAAACCACCTTTGACAGGAATTCGTTTTCCCCTCTGAGGTGGTGACACTGGTCACGCAGGGAATCACCACTCCCCACTGAGGGCCTATGAGCTGTTTCAGGTCTCCCAAGCAAACACCCCGCACATTCTCCATCCCTAAACCCATGGATTTCATCCTCCCTATTTATAGCCCTGCTTGGGCACTCTGGAGCATCCACACACACCGGCACAGCTCGGTCCCTGCAGACATTCAGAGGACAGACAGGAACAAGAAACCAGGATAAGGTCACTGCAAGGCGGTTAAAAATGTAAATGAAGCCCAAGGAGCCACTCTAATCCTCCAGGCAGGCGCGTTGCAATGCTGGGAAATGAGATTAGTACAAGGTCCCCTTGGTGCAGGTTGCCACCGGGTCGGGCCCATCTCCTCCGTATTCTCGCGAGGGTGTCCCCAAAGACGACTCCAGCCTCCGCAAGCGCCTTGCACCACTGCTAATGCCCTAACAAGAGACATCCTGAAATGTGGGTGCCCCAGGGCCGGAAAAAGTTAGAAGGGACATGACCGGGGCCAAATCAGCACTTCCTTCTGATGCTGCAGCCCTCCCAGGAGAGGCGAGCGCACGGATCCAACATCCCTTATTGCACCACATTCCCCCCGCGGGAAGCAGTGTTTAGCCTTTGACTGCAACAGGGGATGCAAAACGCAGTGGGGGAGAAAAAAAATAAAGGCTTTTTCAGGGATGTCTGGCCCCAATTTGCAGCCCTCCACCCTTGTAGCAGCTCCAGCCGCCGCAACCCTCCCCACGGCGCCAGGCCTGGCCAGCTGGGCTGCCACGGCCGTCATCGTGATCGAATGTGACAAAGTGCGCTGTCGCTGCAGTTCTTCAAATCAGCGTCTTTATTAAGGATTTCCATGCAAAATATGACAGCAAATAAACACCCACTCCTGCCGGGGCGGCCACGTGCACATGCAGGCAGCAGGACAGAGGCTTCAGCATCTCCCCTCCCAGGGAGGCTGGGCTGAGACCCGAGGGGAAACTGAGGCACAAGGCACCACCGGGACCTGCAGCCCAGCCAGGAACATCACCTGCAGCTCTTCCTGCCCATACTCATCCTCCAAGAGCCTGTTTTCCTCCCCAGACCCACACTGCACTAGCAAAGCTGATGCTTGCAGCTCAGCTTTGCTGCTTTCAACAGGTCACCCCACCACCAATTCCCGCAAGTGTTTGCAGAGCTAAGTCATGGGCAGCACAATCCTGTGCTGGCTCCGCTTCCCTCGCTTTCCTCGTGATTAATAGCAGTTCTGCTGGTAAAACAAGAGCCCATTTAGACCGCTAATATTTGCTCTCCCTACTCCCTGCCTGCTTCGTTTCCTACTTCAGTGGAAATCCATTTGGCTTCTTCCCCCAGTGAGATATTAATAAGAAAGCGAAAGGCACTTGGATTTGGGAGTCCACCCACGCACAGGAGGGGTTGACAGGGAGCTGCAGGACAAAGCCCAGGCCTGCATGGAAGAGACACCCCAGGATGCTTGTTTGCTGCATGCAAGTCAGGGTGCAACCCTCAAATGGCCAAATCCCAGGAGAAGATGTCCTGCTGGAGGGTACTCACCCTCTGCCAGGGTCTCCACAGGCTGCATGGATGTCACCTCCCCTTCACCGACACCTCAGATCCCAAAGAACGCCCTCGCTCAGCACCCTCAAGGAGCTCCTGAACGTCTTGAGGCCCTTTTACAGGGTGGTTCCACCTGCCCCAGGTGAGTACCTGGCAGGAACCCTCTGCCTTCCTGCTCATCTGGGCTATGGGCTGGGATGCTGTGTTGCTCCAGGGCCTGAGGTGAGCCCGGAGCAAGCTAGGTTAATTTGGGATGGTAGCACCAAGCTTAGCACCTCCTGGTGCCCCTGTCTCCTTGCAGGAGCTGGTTTCTCCTGAAAGTGCAGGGTGTTTTTTCAAAGCGCTGTTGTGGTTTTCTTTTTTCAAGGGGGAAGCACAAATTCATTTCACTTTTTCAAAGCATACTGGCACCTTTTATGGATAGTTCCCCTGTGGATGCCCCCTGGCAAACAAGATCCCTCTCCCATGGCAAGTAATGGGCTTCCAAGTCCCAGGGCCCATCATGGACCCTCTCACCAAGACATTCCACCATTTCTAGTTATCAAGGAGTGCCGGGATTTGGATTACACACCCGGGGGCAGGCAGGACACACTGTGTACCCCAAAACACATGCACAGGGGATGTTTTTTCCTTCTCCCCCCCGTGTTTCTCAGTGTCTTCCCCAGAGTTTTTCTCATAGCACCTGAACTCGGAGGTTCCCTGAGCCCGGCAGTGCATCCGCCTGTTGTCTCACATCTCTCCTAGGCAATCTGTAGGGGAAGGGGAATTGACAAACTGGTGGAAACCTGACTGACGTTCCAATCAAAATACAAAAGAAACAGAAATAAATGGCGCCGGGAAGAATTGCTATTTAATTAGAAATCACATCTGTGCCAGTGAGTCACAGCCGGGGAGGGATCTGTCTGCAGCTAACCAGAGATGGGCACCTGCTGGCAGCGCCACAGTGGACTCCAGTGCCAGGAGCCTTCGGCCTCGGCCACCCACCAACACTCCCCCTCACTCGGCTGCGGCCAGGGGCTTCCTGAGCTGGCCGAGTGGTCAGGACACGAGCGGAACTGGTTTCCCATGGATGGAGCTGAAGAGCCCGTTCAGTCTTGCTCAGCCCATGAGTTGTCCAACATGCCCATCCTTCCTCCTCTCCATGAGAGCATCACCAACATGCCCTGCGGCCCAAGGGTACCTTTGACCTCGGGGGACCCACCAACGGGCAGCGTAGGGACCGTGACACCCCAAAAAACATCTGCCCAAGACAGACAGGCTGCTTAGGTGACCACCAAGCACCTCCCATGTCTCCCAAATGGCTGCTGGGCTGAACCTGATGTGGCACCTTCGGGCCACCATCCACCCCATGTCCCACAGCCGATGTCCCCTGTGGCCAAACTGGAGGGAAATTTCCCCATGGATCTTTCCTGACCTGACGTGAGGGTCCTGAAGCCCCAGCTCCTTGTGGTGCCACCACAGCCGGTACCAGGCCAGCCCTGCTGAGATGCGACTCGGCGCCCAGCATGGCTCTCCCGCAGGGTACAGCCCATGGCTTGGGCTCTCACGCTGGCATTGCCCCTAGTAAACACAAAAAAAGTAAAAACATCTCCAAGCTCCCAAGCCTCATGGTGAGACTCCCTCCGAGCAGCATTCCTGTGATGGGAGAACCCCCAGTAAATCAGAGCCCACGAAAGGCCCCAGGTCCCATGTGCTTAAGGTCACCTCATGCTGAGGAACCTTTCAGCAGAAGCTCCAGCTTCCTCCAGACTCACCATGGCTGCAACAGACTGGACAGAGACCAACATACCCCACTCCCGTAATATCTTGCTGGATAAGGACACCCCTCTCTTGGATGATGCCTCCAAAAACCAGGATGCAGCTCAGCTGCCATTTCTTGAACACGATTTCCCTTAGTTCCACCCATTCCTGGCTGAACAGGGTTTTCAAAGGCTAACTTGAGGGCAATGTGGACCCTCAGGTTCCTCCTCTCCAAAAGCAGGAGCTTGGGGCTGCCAGCCCTGGGCTTCCCCCTCGGCTGAGAGCTCACAGCACACTCCCGCTGCACGAACCGCTATCTGAAAGCAATTAACGCTATCGGCAGCACTCTGCATTCATTGATTTATTTAACTCCTCTTAAAACATCCACGGGGAGGTCAGCGCGGGCGGAAGAGATGGCGGGGAGAAGCTCCGAGCGTGGGGGCGGAGGAGTGAGAGCCGCCGGGCTTGCTGGCCGCTCGGGGGCCCACGAGGGTCGGGTACAACTGCCAACGTCCCGAACTTCCCCTCCGCGAGCATCGCAGGGGCTCGGCAAGAGCGCCCCGAAGGCGCCGGGCGGCGGGTGAGTCGCGTCAGGTCGCAGCCGGGCGCGTGTCCCGCCGTTCGGTGGTTTTGCCCGGGGCGGGGGGCCCCCCCGGGGGTTTTCCCCCCCCCCCCCCCCCCCCCGATCAGGGACAAAAGGGACACACACGTGCACACATGCAGACATGTGCACGCTTGCACGCACAGGTGCACACATGCATACCCATGCACACACTTGCATACACATGTGCAGACAGATGCACTCACATTTGCACACACATTTGCACGCAGCACAGGCGCTTGCTTGCAGTTCTCCTCCCACCTAGGCAGTCCTGCAGCGGGCACCCCCTTTAAGGGCTTTTTTTTTCCTTGCATTTAGGGATTTCCATCGCTTTTTTTTTTTTTTTTTTTTTTTTTTTCCTTTCCC